AGAAATGCTATATTCACCTTAACAATGTTAAAGACTAAATGTATTGAACTACAGAAAGATCTGTATTTATGCTTCATATATTATTCAAAGCGTTCCATAACGTTAGACATGATGAGCTATTTAAAATACTGAAAAAGCTAGACATGAATGGAAAAAATCTAAGAATTATCTGGAGTTTGGGTGGCTCTAGTGGCTAAGTACGAGTAAGTAGTGAGTTTAGACTCAAGTAATGTCAAGCTAGTGTTGGTGACATGGGGATCAGATAGGAGGTCACTGGGGTGTGCCCTTTAGCAAGACACGATAACCCTAGCTCAAAATACAGGGCGCTGCACAGTGGCAACCGACAATGTCATGATTATAAACTGTTCTGTATTTGTGTAATATTGTGTAATGTATGTATTTGTGAATGTATTTAAGTATGTACGCATTTATAATTATTTATTTATGTATGTACGTTCATAGAACGTCTGCCATTGTAAACTAAAGTGCCCTTTTTTCGACAAATAAAAGTGTTATTTTTTTTTTTTTTAATTTATTTGTACTGGGACCAAAACGCTTCTGTACGAATAAATGGAGAATACAGTGAAAAAGATTAGAAGAGGGGTGAGGCAAAGATGTGTTATATCATCAGACTTTTAAAAAATATTATGTACAGTGAAACAATGCTTATAAACATAGAAGAATGTCCAGGTCTCAAAGTGAATGGAGAAAATATTAATAACATCAGATATACCGAAAACAGTTTTAATAGCAGACTCAGAAAGGGACATTCAATTGCTTCTAGATACTGTTGTAACAGAAAGTGATCGTAAAGGATTATTGTTGCATGTAAAGCAGAATACATGATACTATTTTTAAAAAGCAGCAAATCCTATTTGTAATCTCATTAGCAAAAGTGAAGAGATCAAACAAGTCCAACAGTTTAAATATCTAGGATATATAATATCATCTGATGCCAAATGTTCCACAGAAATAAAATGGAGAAATGCAATTGCTAAGGCTCGTTTCAATTTTTTTTTAAAAAGAAGCCCAATCCTGAAAAATAGAAATATCTCATTCTCAATTACTACCAAAACGAAAGTTCTGAAATGCTAAGTATATTCAACCCTTCTATACGGCGGTGAATGCTGGACAATCACTAAAGACAGTGAAAATAAAAATAGAAGCAATAGAAATGGGGTTTCATAGGAGACTGCTATGAATATCGTGAAAGGAAAAGAAATCAAATGAGGTTGTGCTTGTAAAAATAATAAGGAAATGACAATGCAGTTTTAGGGATAAATGATTACACAGAAAGGTCTTGAACATCTAGCTCTCACTGGCAAAATTGAAGGCAAACGAGGCAGGGGTAGGCCCAGAGCAACCTTCTTAGGGATCCTAAACAAATGGGTAACGGGGAAAGATCAAGGAAACGTGGCTTTTTTTAAGAGCATCCGAGCAAAGGAATGAATGGAGAACCATGATCGCCGATGTCTGTTGCAGATTTGGTACTCGATGAATTAATCTTGACTGATAGGAATGTCCACTTCTGAATGAGAATACCTCTGTAAAGAACTAAAGTTCGAACAGACAGTGTAATGAAATTCACTCTATCAATAGAACCTGAGGGATCTGGTCCAAAGTGTTCTTCCACAGGTGAATTACTTTGTTTTTCCGAGTCCCACGAGGCGATTTGTACTTTGTCTTTCTTAGTCGTCATATAATTCTATGTTGAGCTTTTAAAAATTCCCAATAGATTGTTTGATTGTCTGTTTGTTTGTTGTTGTTTTTTTGTTTTCTTGTTTGCCTCTGTGTGTGTGTGTGTGTGTGTGTGTGTGTGTGTGTGTGTGTGTGTGTGTGTGTGTGTGTGTGTGTGGAGAGAGAGAAAGATAGACAGGCAAATACACAGGCAGACACTCTAATGGAATTTTTTTAGGTTGTCGTGTATTGCTTGCGAACATGCCAATTATTACCATATGGGGCTCTCATGGACTTAGGGGTTAAAGTGTTCGCCTCTCATTCCATAGGTCCTGTGTTCGAATCCGGATGGCGACGGAATTTTTTCTTCTCTCTACTCTTAAATGTATTGTCTCCTTTCACCTCCTTTCCTGCTCTCTAGCAATGTTCTGTTGTCTGCTTTCATCTCCACTTTCTGCCCTACCCCCTCACCTCCTTTGCCCCCTCCTCTGGGCTCCCGACTGTTTCTGTAACCGTTATACTGCTACTCCTTGGCTCCTTTTTACTGCTGTCTTTCAATCACACCCAGTGGCGGTGGGTAGTGAAGGGCTTATGGGCTTGAGCCCCTCACCCCTACCCCGTCCCCACCCCAACTCTATCCCTTAGTTCATGACAGTTTCTTAAATAACGAAATGAACAGTTGAAACCGTTGTGATCGCACAAGGATCGCACACAGTGAACACACAGTTATCAGCTTGCGGCTTGCCCGTTTATCTAATCATTGTTGTCACCGCGTACAACTATAGTAACCTAACAGCCAATCAAATATTCGTTAGGGCTCAGAAAGAATAAGCCGGTTCCCACGCCCGTCTTTAATGAAACTCTCCTTGTAAAAAGGTAGAAGACTTTTTAAAAATAACACTGCACAGCGGGCTCACGCTCTCCCAGCCCTGACAATGGGGTGAAAGTTTACGACACACTTTCCCCCAGTGACACATATATCTATGCGCCCATTGGGCCTTTGTTAGGCGCGTTCTATTTTCCGCAACAACACGATCCAATCCACCTCATAGACGGTATGTGTTTGAAGTGCTGTGTGTTTGTGCCGCTGAGATTTAACAGCTATTAATTACATCAAACCACTTTTGAGGCAACTTTTTCTTCAGATAAAAACTAATTAGAGAAATTTGGAGATGAAACGTCTTCGTCCCCACCATCCAGAAGAGCTTAAATTTAACTAAGAACAAAGAGTTGGAAGATAAAGGTGACTCTTCTCGTTTGAATGATTCTCAAAATGCCGTGGCTTGCCGTGCGTGAGTATGGAAAAATCATCACTGTTTTGTTCTTATTGCTTGCTTTTTGGTGGTAAAGAAGTGGGAGAAACCTAAGCCCCATCCAAATCTTGGTCCACCCACCGCCACTGATCACACCCCTGATCTTCTGGTAAGAAAGATCTATAGATCTACCTAGCTTTCTCGGACAGGGGCGAAACATCTCGGAGGTCCCGTGTGCAAGTTGTGTACGGTAAAGATCCCTTGGTTGTCCCAAATCGATAAGAGTAGGCATCGGCCACCACCTGGGGAAAATTCAAAATTTCCTACCAACTGAAAGTATTTAATGTGTTCCGCGCGCTTATATGACCTTATGCAGTTGCGAGCGCCATAAAACACCTAAAAGATACATATAATATACTATATATAATATTACTATTATAGCACTCTTATCACATTGAAGAAATAAAATGTTGTATGGGAGGACGGATGGAGATTTTTCTTCTGGTTTTATATTCTTCAAGATTTTCTCAAAAGGAATTCAATTTTTTAATTTAAAAATAATAATTTTTTATGTTTTTTTTTGGGGGGGGGTATTTGTTGTTTTGTTTTGTTTTGTTTTGTTACGATCCACCTTTTTATATAACATGACAGTGATTATTGATTTTTTTATTCGTACCAGACAGTCGTTGATACGAAAATATAAGCGAGTAGTTACAAGGATATCAACGAAGATGGAACACTGGGATAGCACAAACAACAATGATTGGATCAATGCGTTGGTACGTGAATTATGTTATTTAATTATGTTTAAGCAAGAGTTTTACGGCATTTGCAAAACAATAACGTCATATAAGTGCCGAAGATTGGAGGTGCTACAAGAGAGTAACAAACACAAGAAGGAAAGAGGGGAGATAGAGACAACAGATCTTTTACTTTTATAGGATAGAAGGAGCAAACCACACCACAAAACCAGCCAAACACCCACGTTTTATTCGCTAACATTTATCACCTATTCTAGGCCTCCGAAGTTTACGTTTACGGGGGGGGGGGGGGGGAGTACACACCTCTTCCACGCCCCTGACATAGAGAGAGACAAGATTTTGAAACTATTTTTGTGTCATCCACTCTTAAATTTCTTCCTGAAAATTCTGGAGTTTTTCTTAAATTGATGGCACACGTGAAGGGGTTGCAGCTGAACGTCTGTTGGCATGGAGGTTTTTGATTTAGAGCTCGTAGAAGAAATATGATTCACTCAAGATTTAGATCTCGTAGAATTAATATGATTGACTTAAGATTTATGATTGACTCAAGATTTAGATCTCGTAGAAGTAATATGATTGACTTAAGATTTATGATTCACTTAAGATTTAGAGCTTGTAGAAGTAGTGATAGACTCAAGAATTAGATCTCGTAGAAGTACATGTACTATGATTCACTCGAGAATCATAATTCTGGAAGCAAATGTAGAAAGGAGGCGGGGGGAGGGGGAGTTGAGGGAGGGGGGGGGGGCTCTCATGGTCTAGAGGTTACGGCGTTCGCCTCTCATTTAACAGGTCCCGGGTTCGAAACCTGACAGCGATGGTTGATTTTCTTATCTAAATTGTTCTCCTTTCACCTCCTTTCATTCTGTCTAAGCATGTTCTTTCGTCTGTTTTCTTCTCTAATTTCTTCCCCTCCTCCCCTTTCTTTTGCGCCCTTCTTCGGGCTCTTGACTCTTTCTGCAGCCTTTCTACTGCTACTCCTTGTCTTTCAGCCACACGCCAGATCTTATGGTAGGTAAGATCTAACACCTAGCCTTCTAGGATAAGGGCGAAAAATATCGGAGTGTCCCGTTTGCAAGGTGCATGTTAAAGATCCCTTGATGGTCCGAAATTATTGATGAGAGTAATCTTCGGCTGCCACCAGGGTAAAATTCAAAATTCCTACCAAACTAAGCCTTATACATTTGCCAGCGCTGTAAACACTTACCACAACAAACAAACAAAATGTAGAAGGCACAAGAGAAATGAGGACACCGAACAGAAGATGAGAAGAGAACATGGAAACTAGGCACAGAAACAAAACAACTGAGTCAGGCAAAACGCCAAAACATAGACTGTTTTATTGCCGGAAGGCCCGATCGTAGTAACATCCAACCAGTGGAACAATTTACCCGAGGAAGAAGGAGCAATAAAAGTGTGTCTTATGTCTCATGCTATTGAATTATGATAGTAGCAAAGTTCCAGGCGAATGTCATTGGTTTGTGAATCTGGTACGACGTTTTCGGTCCTGTCACCGTTCCTGCTGTTCTCCGTGTCAAAGAGCAGGAACTCCTGGGTAACATCCATGCCATGCACCTTCTGACAGCGGCCGCCGCGACGGTACAAGTAGAAGGGTTGGTATGGGGGTAGGTAGATCTCGTCATCGGGACTACCGTCGTCTCGACAACAGTAGTGAAGATTTGGGTTAGCACCGTGATCGCCGTCAGGAAGATTACCGGAGCTTCTGAACTTCGCCTCTGTGTCTTCGGTATCCCAATAAATCCTGCCTTCCTGAAACCCCGCGGGGCATCCCCCCTTCTTGTTGATGCAGTAGGATCCTTTCGGCCAGTTGGAACCGAACGAGAGAATGGAGGTCTTCACACAGAAATGTTGAGTCACGAAATGATCCCCGTCTTCTCGCGAGAGAACCGGACCGCGCAAGTGGCTGAGCTCCGAGACTTGATCATGGTTTCTGTCCTCGGACTCTGTGTGAGTTTTGGTGAAGCCTTTCTCCCACGTGCTCGCATCGTCCTTGGGGCAGCCGCTAGCGGGCCCCAGCAAGGCGTAACTTCCAGACGGCCAGTGGAGGAGAAAGCCAGTTTCCAGAAAGCCAGTTCCCAGAAAGCCAGTTTCCAGAATTCTTCGATACTTTGACTCTATCATGGCTAGAGTCTCCCTGTGCTCCGCCAACGTTTGCCTAACGGTCTCAGTGAGGGTCTCCAATTGTTCTTTCAAGGCCTTGTTTTCTTCCAGAGCATCAGAGAGGATGTCCGCCTTCCCGACCTCCAGCATTCTGGAGAAGTCTTCTCCCATCAGCTCATTCCCGACCTCCAGAGTCGTGGATCTGATCAGTTCTGCAGACTGGAGATAGAGAAATACAAGAGAGCTCTGTATTGCGCGGACAGATTTGTTGCTTCTGTTTGTTGTTTTTGTTTTTGTTTTTGTTTTTGCTTTAGCTTTTTTTTAGGGGGGGGGGGGAGGGTTGTTGTTGTTTTTCTGTTTTGGTTTGGTTTTGTTTTTCGTATTTTGTTTTTGTTTCTATTTCTGATTTGGTTCTTGTTTTATGGGGGGGGGGGGGGTTATTTCTTTTCTGGAATTGGTTCCTGGTTTTGGGGTCATATTTTCTTTGTTTGACAAATAAAATTCAGTATATATATATATATATATATATATATATATACATACATATATTCCCCCCCCCCCCCTGCTCTGTTCTATCATCTGGTGTTTTTGTGTTTAATAAACACAACAAAATGTGCAGCATTTTGATACATACATACATAAATACATAAATTCGTGAATAAGTAAATACGTAAATAAATAAATCAATCAATCAATCAATCAATCAATCAATCAATCAATCAATCAATCAATCAATCAATCAATCAACCAATCAATAAATAAATCAATCAATCAATCAATATGTCACTTCACTCTTACACAGTTAATTGTTTAGATCATGTTAGTCCTACATTCTTCTGCAGCTCTGTCGAGTCACGAGGTGGGCACCCTTCGTCCCGCTCCCTAGTGGAGTCATCTTTACAGTGTCACCGAAGGTACCGAAAGTTTGCACGAAGTCTCTTACTATTTTGGAGACATTTTCAGTATTAAGTACCTAAACTTCTGGGTCAAGACGAGTAGGTAGAGGGGAATTGATAGAGACACAAATTTTGCCTCCCAAAGCCCCACCCCAGGTCCACGTCACGGGAGGTGGAAACTGGACAAAGTATTGGATTGCTGGGTTCAACGAAGTACGGTGTGGCTTTATGCCACTGAGGCTTCACGCTAGCCATGAAGGAGAACCCGGGTCACGCTAGCCATGAAGGAGAACCCGGGTCACCCCGAAAGGTTGCAGGCTAACGAGGCTCTAGTGAAACTGTGACAGGCCTAGCAAGTCTGCAGCGGATTATTTATTTCTAAAAAAAAACAATGAAAGAAAGAAACGGACTGACACAGACGGCCGATAGAACAAAAACAACTGATGCAAGATCAATCCCAAACATCACCTTAGATACAGATCACCGACCAGTGATGATGACGAGTAAAGAGAAAAAAACCCAGGCGAAAATAGAAGAAGAAACATTAAGAGAAAAGTAATTTACGAAAACTCAATGAAGAGGGCAATGTGGTGAAAGTTGAGGACGAGATCACAAAGAGACTAGAACACCAAGACACCAGTTCGATGAATGTTGAAGAAACATGGACTCTCTTTAAAAACTTGTTAACAGAAACGCTGATTAAATTATGTGGAAAGAAGAGAATTGGGAGAGGATACATTTAAGAAACCCCATGGTGGAATAACGATGTTAAAAAGGCCATTTAAAGAAACGAAGAAACTTTTTCAGAAATGAATAGATTCCAAGGACGAAAATGACTACATGCAATACAGACTAGCAAGAAGGAACTGCAAAAGAGTTGTTACAGCATCAAAAAATGAATCTTGGACAAAATATGGAGAACACCTAAGCGCAATGTGCCATAAATCACCACGTGAATTTTACAGAAGTGTAAAATCAACGAGGCTCAGAGAACAACCGCACGACCCAACAGCTATAATTAATGACAAAACAGGAACTCCCATTATCGACAGCTCCAAAATTAAATCTAGATGGAGGGAATATTTCTCAGAACTCTTGAACACCACTCAAAAGCAAACAAACAAAGAATTCCAACCAAGTCACCCAGTGGGAAAAGAACCAACCATCCTACCACCAGAGGTCAGACAAGCAGTTAAAACCAGCCCAACAAACAGAAGCACAGGAATAGATGAGCTCACCACGGAGACCATCTTAGCATGTGGTGAAACTGGAATAACTTGGCTCACAAAAATCTTCCAGAAAGCATGGACAGAAAGGAAAGTTCCCGGCGACTGGCAAAAAGCGGTCATAGTATCAATCTGGAAGAAGAAAGGCAGTAAAAGAGACTGTGGAATGTATAGAGGCATTTCACTGCTAAGCCATGTGGGCAAGATGTTGGCCAAAATATTGGAATGGCGAACTAGAGGCAAAGTTAAACAATTTCTGAGTGAGGCACAAATGGGATTTAGAATGTGAAGAGGATGCACCGACGCAAAAAGTTTGCCCTACGACAAATGTGCGAAAAGGTAATAGAACACAACAGGGAACTAAATATAGTATTTGTCGACCAGGAGAAAGCGTTCGACAAAGTGAACAAAAACAAGCTGTGGAAAGAACTCGAAAACTACACTGTAAGAGGCCAACTTCTAGATAAAATCCGTGCATTTAACGAGAACACCATAAGTACAGGAAGAACGTCAGTGGGACTCAAAGAATGGTTTGAAATAACAACCGGAGTAAGACAAGGTTGTGTCCTATCACCACTACTATTTATCATATATATGGATAGAATTACAGAAGATGCCAACACAGAACCAGACGCCCTAAATGAAATACTCTTCGCTGATGGCCAACGCCTGGCACACAAAGATGAACGAAGTCTCCAACACCACACCACCAGATTAAACGAAGAATGTAACAACTACGACATGAAGATCAACGTCAATAAAACAGAGACAATGAAAGTAAGTAGAAAGCCAGAACCACTCAGGATACACATCAACAACAACAGTCTCAGACAGTCCAAGAATTTAAGTACCTCGGAAGCATATTCATCAAGGATGGGCGACTGAACAGAAAAATTGAAACACGAGTACAAAAGGCCAATAAGTTAGTTACCAACTTACTCCGCAACTGAAATATCCTAACATCCCCATGACAACAAAACTCAAAATGATCAGCACCATATTCACCCCAACACTCACCTAGCAATGCCAAACATGGACCACGAACAAGACATTAGAGCAAAGAATTACAACATGTGAAATGCGATGCCTTAGAAAAGCAGTAAACAAGACCAGGCGAGACAAAATTAGAAACTCAGTAATCCAAGAAATGGTGGGCACAAATGATGTCATGCATCACATCCAACACCATAGAATCAAATGGTTCGGACATCTCCTACGATTACCAACACACCATCTAGCACAACGTGCCTACATCAAAATATTCGATGGCAACAAGGCTAGAGGGCGACCGAGAAAGACCTGGATAGATGGAGTCAGGGAAATATTAACCACCCACGGCATCCCCCTGACCAAAGCTCTCCGGCTGGCGACAGAGAGACGTCTCTTTCTTCCCGCGACACCCAAAAGGGTATAAACGGCGTATAAAATGAACAAAACAAATTTTGCTTGTATGGTGGTTGCATTCTCGTGTTTGCTTCCTAATATTTGTGCACTTAGATTGAAATTCATGTATTCAAAATGTGAGGCACCGAGATGAAAACAAGCGCTGCGCTCGTCAAAATAATGAAATCGAAGAAACTGACATGTTCCTATCCGTTTGGGAAATATTTTTTTATTCTTTTGTTTCTTGACACAGCACCTTTAACGTCAACTTATTAACGCATTTCTGTGTTGATTTAGCTGGAAAAATATTGATTTAAAGCACAAAAATGTAAATTTGCAGGTTCTAAGGACCCTCAAGCGTTAGAAGTCGTCAAACATTGGTGGCCACTTTCCCGCTAATTTCACCTCTGAAACCAGGCGACCCCTATTACCTTCAATAGTGAATATCTTGACTTCTCTTCAGGATAGCTGAGTATTTTTTTAAATTTAAAGCAAGACAAATGAACAAGGTTTTAAATTATTCTAATAACTTCATATGTCCAAAAATTAAAGAGAGCCTATTTCCACCACGTCGTGACACAAATACGTTACGCTGAAATCTGTCTATCCGTTTTCCCTGATCAGATACATCAAGATTGATGTGAAAGTAATCAACTCTGATCATGTAAATAGTTTCATGGATG